GAACTGTAAGATTTGAGTCTGTTGATTTAAACCACTAAGTTGGTTATAATTTGTTACAGCAGCCGTGGGACGCTCACAGACACAGAGAACGGTGGCTGGGCCCTGGGACCTCAGCAAACGTTTCTGTTCTGACCAAGGTCGCCCCACCCACCCCTGCCTGTCTCTCCAAGCCCCCCCCCCACCGTCACCCCTCTCCCCTTCCTCCCTCCGTTCCCAGCCACCCTGGCCTTCTCCATCCCTCAAGCGCACCAAGCCGCCTCCTGCTCAGACACACACCACACTCTCCGCGCGGGGAGTGCTCTCCGGCCACACCTTTCTACAGCATGACTCTCTTCGCATTTAGTCCACAAAGAGAATGCCAGCTCGTTAGAAACGGCCTTCGTGATCTCAAGGACACTGCCCACCACCTTTCCTAACACTCAGACTGAGTTTCTCTACGGCGCCCACTGTCATCTGAAATGACTGGAGTGTAGGACTTGTCATTGGGTTTGTGGGCACCCTCCCCTCGAATGTAAGCACCATGGGGGCTGGGACGCTGCCTGCCTTATGTGCCCCGTTGTCCCAATGACTACAATGGCACCCGGCCCGCAGTTATCACCCCAACATTGTTTGAAATAATAAAAGCCTTTGTGCCGGGTCTTACCCTGAGGTTTCCAGTCAAATTGGCTCAGAAGGAAGACTGTAACGTTCTCTTCTCCTACGTTGGGTCTGTGGTCCCAGTTGCCTAGAAACTCACTGAGCGTGTTCGTTTTGTGATTCCAACCTTTTTGAAAGATAATGTGTTTTTTATCTGCATGTGCATAGCTGGGCTTTTTGGTTTTAAGAACTGTAGTTGAATGGTGGGCTGCAGCCATAAATGCCACGCCACCCACGGAAAGAAATCGCTGAACACAAAGCTCTGTAATTGGACAGAAAACTGAAGAGAAGTGAAAGGGAGAGAGAGGCACTGTGGAGAGGAAAAAAGGGGAACTCATGCTCTCAGGAAAAAAGAAAAGAAAGAGGAAAAGAAAAAAATGGGCACATTAGTTGGCATTTCCCAACCAAGGAGCAGGCAGCGGGCTGGGAGAGATCGTGAAGACGAGGTGTGAGACACTATTGTCCTGCATGGCACACTCCTCTTTGGAGCCTGCCCTGTTCAGGTGGGATCTCAGAAGCTTTGAACTGCCGTGCTGCTCTCCTAGAAATGGAAACAGTAGACCCACATGGCTGCCAAGGCTGGTGAGTTCAAGGCCAAAATTCCCATCAGTTCACTATTCTCCCTTTCCAATCACCAAAAAGTGATGAAGCCAGGGCACAGTGTGTGGCAAAGGTCTTGTCAATAAAAGTGTATCCCCGGAGGTAGGAACAATACCCCTAAAGCCCAGTAACCACAAAGGAATAACCCCCACTCACACCTGCTCCTTATACACTTTACTTACTGTTGTTGTCAGGTACCATGGTCAATTCCAATTCAGCGACTCCACTTACAACAGAGTAGAATGGTCCTTGGTCTTTGCATCCTCACAACAGTAGGTGTGTTTGGGTTCCCTGTTGTACCCACTGTGTCAATCCATCTCCTTGAAGGTCTCCCTCTTTCTCTCTGACCCTCCACTTTACCAAGCACGATGCCTTTCTCCAGGGATAACATGCCCAAAGTGAGATGAAGGCGCCCTACCCTTGCTTCTAAGGAGCATTCTGGCTGTACTTCTCATAGACCTGTTCATTCTTCTGGCAGTCCACAGTGTATTCAATATTCTTCACCAACACCGTAATTCAAATGCATCCATTCTTCTTCAGGCTTCTATTTTTGTTGTCTGGTTTTTGCATGCATATGAGGTGACTGAAAATATCATGGCTTGGGTCAGGTTCACCTTAGTCCTCAAAGTGTTATCTTAGTTTTTTTAAACTGTAAATATATCTGCTGCAGCAGATTTGCCGGTGCATTATCTGTATATCTATATATCTATCTATATCCATATCTATATCTATAGATAGATAGATAGATAGATAGATAATTTCTTAATGATTGCGTCCACGACTGTTGACTGTGGATCCAAGTAGAATGAAATCCTTGGCAATTTCAATATTTTCTATATTTATTATGATGTCACTTATTGGTCCAGTTGTGAGGATTTTTGTTTTCTTTATGTTGAGGTATAATCCACACTGAAGGCTGTAGTCTTTGATCTTCATCAGGAAGTGCTTCAAGTCCTCTTCACGTTTACCAAGCAAGGTTGCGTCATCTGCATATCACAGGTTGTTAATGAGTCTTCTTCCAATCTTGATGCCATGCTCTTCTTCATACAGTCCAGCTTCTTGGATTATGTGGTCAGCATACAGATTGAGTAGTATGGTGGAAGGATACAATCCTGATGCACACCTTTCATGATCTTAAACCCTGCAGTATCCTCTTATTCTGTTCAAATAACAACTCCCTGGTCTATGTACAGGTTCCTCATGAACACAGTTAAGTGTTTTAAGTGTTCTGGAATTCCCATTCTTCTGAATGTTATCCATAATTTGTTATGATTCCATAGTTGAATGCTCTTGCATAGTTAATAAAGCACAAAAAAAAAAAAAAAAAAAAAAAAAAACCAAACTCACTGTCATCAAGTCAAGTCCAACTCATAGCAACCCCCCTTGGTTTTCTAAGGTGGTAAACTTTTATGGAAGCAGATTGCCCAGTCTCCCTTCCATGGAGTGGCTGGTGAGTTTGAACCATCAACCTTCTGGTTAGCAGTCAAATGCCTTAGGCACTACACCACCAGAACTCCTTCAATAAAGCACAGGTCAACCTCTTTCTGGTATTCTCTGCTTTCAGCCAAGAGCCATTTGATGTCAGCTACGCTATCCCTCAGTCCACATCTTCTTCTGAATCTGGCTCAGCAGTTCCGTCAATTTACAACTTCAGCCATTTTTGAAGTATCTTCAGCAAAATTTTGCTTACATGTAGTATAAGTGACTTTGCAGATTACAGGATGCTAAAACTGAAGTCCAGGCCAAGAATACACTCTGAGTATTGCCACCACTCATCTTTGCCATCAAAGCATTCAAGCAGCCATAGACAATTCATAACCCATGGACATGGCAGTGTCCCAAGAAAAATTTATTTACCAAAATAGGCAGCATGCTGGATTTGGCCCAGGGAGCTGCACTTTGCCAACCATTGAAAGGAAGATTGGGCAATCTACTTCCATAGAGATACCACCTCAGAAACCCAAGGAGAGGTTGCTATGAGTCAAAATTGACTCGACGACAGTGAGAGTTTTGGGCTATGTTCATGTCCTTGTCCCTGATTTCTGGTGAGTAAAAACACACATCACTGCACAGGATGGGTGCCTGCTGACCAGAGGAGGGTTCGAGACCCTCCTTTCAAATCCCACCTCCACTGGCATCAGGAGGCTGCAGAACCCACAGTGAACTGAGTGCTGTGGGTTAAACAGAGAACAAAGCTTGCTAGGATGTTGAGTGGCGATCACGCAGCAGCCACCTGACTTGGGCTGGTCTGGAAGAACACCCAGGGGAAAGGAGTGCAGGATAGCATCCATCTTTCCTGAAAGCCACCCCTTCACAGAATCCCTTCCCAATGAGTGTGACTCCCCAACAAAGCAAAATCCAGATCACTGCTGAAGGGGACCCTCCATAGCCCTAACCTTCAAGAACTAAATGACCTCGGTACAATGCCGTTGAGTCAACCCTGGCTCATGGTGGCCCCAGGTGTGTCGGAGTGGACCTCTGCTCCACAGGGTTTTCAGTGGCTGGTTTTCAGAAGCTGACTGCCAGGGCCCTCCTCCAAGGCCTCTCTGGGTAGACACGGATCTCCAACCTTCTGGTAAGTGGCTGAGTGTGTCAACTCTTTGCATTCCCCAGGGCCTCCATGAATCTGGTAGCTTGGATGGCTACCAGATAGCCGGTAGCTTGCCTCAAGGATGGCAGATTCTAGGGTGGAAGACAGATGATGAACCCGTAGTCTCAAACAGGGATAAGATCTCTGAAGAGCATAAAACAGGGGAACAAGGTGGATAGTGATGGAGAAGGAGGAGATGGAGGGTCTGTTTCAACCAAGGACATCAGGGAAGGCTCTGGAAAGGCTGAGCAGAATCCTGATGAAGAGGAGGAGGATCCAGACATGAGAGATGTAGAGAAGTGTGCTTCAGACAAAGAGCCAAGTACAAGGACCTGGGGTGTAGAATGCATTGTAGGGTATTGGGTTCTCACTGGCAAGGATCTGGACCATGGTGTCCAGCCTGAGTGGTAGGTGATACAAACCCCCAACTGCCCTAGAGCATCTGGGTGTGGAGCCCACACTTTGATCCCAAGCATAAGGTCAAATCAGAGCAGAGCATATCTGCACATTTCCTGGGTGTGACAAA